GAGGGCGACGCTGCGGGAAAACTCCGCTTCTCAGACATTGCTTTGCTTTGATTTGTTTTTTCCTGCTTCCGTAAAGTGCTTAGAAATTTAGGAAAGCCGCAACACTAGGAGACTGAGTGAAACGGTGACCACGGGAGAGCCGAGGTGAGCACCTGACAGGGAAAAACATGTCATGTGCGCACGCTGCCACTCTGTCCGCACGAGCAGATGAATCCCTGAAGGCATGCTTGACTGGGTGGGCTAACGGCACACCAGACGAGGCGTGCAAGCACGCAGAGGAGCACAGAGCTGCCAGAGCGAGCGCAGCCAAGGGCTGCTCAGATGATGAAGGAAACGGAGCAGCTCTCTTATGAGGAAAGGCTGAGAGAGCTGGGACTTTCCATCCTGGAGAAGAGAAGACTTAGGGGGGGATCTAATTAATGTGTACAAGTATCTAAAGGGGGGGATGTCGAGAGGATGCAGCCAGGCTCTTCTCCGAGGTGCCCAGAGACAGGACAAGAGGCAACGGGCAGAAACTGAACCACAGGAAGTTCCATCTGAACCTGAGAAAAAACTTCTTTCCTGTGAGGGTGACAGAGCGCTGGCGCAGGTTGCCCAGAGAGGTAGTGGAGTCTCCTTCGCTGGAGATATTCAAAACCCGTCTGGATGTGATCCTGGGCAATACGCTCTAGAGGAGCCTGCTTGAGCAGGGAGGTTGGACTAGATGATCTCCAGGGGTCCCTTCCAACCTCAACTGTTTTGTGATTCTATGTGATTCTGTAGTATTTATTTAAGCAGAATGGGATGCTTTGTGCTGTACAAAGCAGAAATAGAGCATCATTCCCCCAAAGGAACCTGTAACATGAGACACACACACCAAGATATAGATTAATTTAAATAATACGTATACATATAATATTTAGTGAACATTTAAAAACGAATGCATTTATAAGACATTTCTGTTTGTATCTCTTTGACCATTTTTCTTGATAATTACCATAATCACGTGTGTAAATTAACATTCTGCAAACAAATAGGTGGTTTATGGAGGATTATTTAACAGGGACGTTAGTTCTTAGCCTTCCAAGCTTTCTAGGTAAAACGGGGCTCCAT